GTTCTTTCAGAGAGATGGGAGATAAGGTGGCTTGATTGTTTAGGGCTGCAGCCCCGGGTAATCATTCCCCGGCTTGTGGATGGCTGCTCCTGCCCAAAGCTGAATAAGGCAGGAAGGAGCGAGAGAGATGAATGGATGGATGGATACCTGGGCAGGAGTGAAGTGAGTGCCCTTGCTTGCCTGCTGGAGGGGAGGCTGTTCCGGGGTTTGGGGTGGTGGTGGTTCAAAGCCAGGAAACAGGGGCTGGTCCAGTCCCTCCTTCCTCCTAAAGGTGGGGAACAGGAGGCACTTTTATCCCACCCTTCTGCTCTGAGACTCTGGGGCATGTACAGAGTGCGTTTCCAGGTCCAGGAGCATATGCAGAGTTATCCCCCATGCTTGTGGGAGCTGGAACACACACACACACACACACAAGCAGATTTCTCTCAGCTTGAGAAATTGCAAAAGGTGGAGAAAATGGCTTTGTGTGTGTCTTTGTGTGTCTGCAAATCCATTTTCTCCACCCTTTGCATTTCTCAAGTAGAGAGAAATCCACGCCTTTTGTTTTTTCCTGGTTTTTATAAAGTGTTTCAAATCTGTCACACAAATTTTTAAACTTTTTATTTCACTTTATTATGCTTTTATTAAAATAAAAAAAAAAATAAAACAAAGGGGATGGTCTCCATTAAAGGAAGGAATAGATTGTCTCCGTTTGTCCTGGGAGCCCAGTAAGTGTATATGTAGATTTGTTTTGTTTTGTTTTCATTTTTTAAACATTTTTTAAAACAAGAAAACACAGTGGCCAGTGCATTCTGAGTTTTATAGTCTAAAAAAAATGTAACTTTCCCAGTCTTGACCTTTCAAGACTGAGTAGGTTGAATGGTTATGGTATTGCCCCATGATCAAAGAGCTATTCTCCCCAATACCTAATTCCAAAAGTGACATGCCCCTCACCCCACCCTGTGCACAGAGACCCCCTCCTTCAATATGTCCTCCTTTGTCCTCCTTTTTGGCTTTCTATGTCCTCCTTTTCGTACACATGTATCTGGCAACCCTAATTGTAGGTGACTGAAACATAAAAGTAGGAAACAAAGCAGAACCAAATGTTGTTGAAGAATTAGGTCTAGGGGACATAAATGAAGCAGGAGAACAACTCAGAGTTCTGCAAAGCAAACAATCAGTTTATTACAAATACATGCTTCAAACAACTGAACAGACAGCTGTGCATGTGAACTTCACCCAATGGTCAATGTGGAACTCAAATAGACTATGTAAATGGAAGCAGGAGAAGCTGATTCTTTCTGCCCCCCCCCAAAAAAAAGAAAGAAAAAAAAGACCATGTACATGTCTTCAGAACCAGTGTAGACAAGGAAGAATGTCTTGCATTTTCAAACTGCACAACTATTTTAGAATCACACATTCTTTTCTGGAATTATACATTTGTCTGGTTGCAGATTGCAAAAAAACAACAACAAAAAAACAAAACTCTATATGGTAATGGAGTAGCTTCCACATGATGAAAGTGCTTTGTGCAGCACAAAGTCTCTCTCAGCTGAAAAGCAAGAAAGCAAGAAAGCTAACAACTACTTTCAAAATGCTGTTGCTCCAGTTTCTGGCTTTTCTCAATATCTCATTAATAAGTCACACAATATGTTGTGCTTGATTGTAAAACAATGACAAATAAGGACTTCATTTAAGAGGTAATGTGAAACAAGCTACATAGGAAACCAAGACTCATGTTTACCTTCAGATGTCTTCACCTTGTTCACAACAATGATGTACTTTTTATGATATATTTCTCCTCAGACAAGTGACCCATAGGCTAGGTCAAAGTTTCCGTCATTTTCTTTAGAATTCTCCACCACTATAAAGTGATTTCCATGAACATGATGTACAAAGAGAGGTGATCTCATCTGCAGTGTATCAGCTAACTACAAATCAGAAAATCATATTTCAGATTTTAACTGTGCTGTTCTCTCTCCCTCTGCCTTACCCTCAGTCTCCACCTGCATGATAGAGAATACAGACTTACCTTACTGAATTGCTCTGAAACAGGAGGTGGCAACTCAGAATCCAAGAACTGCAAGTAGATAACGTGTCTGAACAATGCTGAATTCTTTATATTGGTTTATAAATGTAAAGTACTAGTATTACTCTCAAAAGAAAAATTCTAGTTGTTTAGCCTCTCTCATTTATGTCTTTCCCTATCTGTACATCTTAGAATAATTTGCACACCTCAGTCTAATGTAGGCTGTTGGCAAGATACTGCCCACAACCTTTTCATGTGTTCCTTGCCTGGCTGCTCAGGCAAGGAGGTTGGATTATTCTGGCATTAATCAGCTAGGATGGGTTGTTCTTGGTGTTGTGAGACCTTCAAAGGTAAGGTAAAAATCTAAGCAGAGTACCTTAGAATCTGACCAATGAGAGGCAGTGTGTGAATAAGATAGGCAGTGTGCTGGAGTGGACAAAGCGTTGATTCTGGACTCAGGAGATCTGGATTCGAATCCCAACTTTGCCACAAAAACTCACTGGGCAGTGGTGGCAATGGTAAACCACTCCTTGAACGTCTATCATACCTTGAAAAACCCTATTTGGGTTCCTACAAGTCACAAGTGACTTGGAAGCATGTAGTGACAAACATGAGAGAAAATGATTTTCACAGCAGAGTTCTGCCTGGCAAGCTGCCCAACTGCACCAAATGGATAGCGTTAAAGGGTAGAGAAACCAGCAAAACCAGGGAGCTGGACAGGGGACAGATTGTATTTGTCTCCAGTGTGGAAGAGATTGTCACTCTCGAATTGGCCTCCTCAGCCACACTAGATGCCGTTCCAAGTCCTCCATACAGAGCACGTTAGCACAGTCGAGACTGAAGGATGCGTACAGAGAGAAAGGGTAGAGAGGAGGTAAGTCATTGCAACTGCCTAGAGACCGTTTGTTTCTGTCCATGGAGTTTTCTTGGCAAGGATACTGGAGTGGATTGCCAGTTCCTGCTCCAGGTTTGCATTGGTCAGGGCCCACTCTTGGGCAGTGGAAACAGATTCGGAGGATAACCTCCAATGTGGTAACTTAAAAAGGCAACTCTAGCCAGTGCTGGAAGTACTGGCTTCCTCCCGAATTTGCCCGGGGAAGCTAAATCCTCAGCGTTGCTAGAGCTCCGCTTCAGGAGAGAAACTGGGCTCATGAAAGCGAAGGGCCCAATAAACCTGTTCTTCTCTAAAGCACCACAAGACTCCCTCACGGGTTGCAGCTCTATGGAAATCTGCGCCGGAGCCTGGAGAGAAGAAGTTTTCTTGGCAAGGATACTTCCCTGTTGTCCTACGCGCAGCAGCCCGGCTCTCTTGCGCAGCCGGCATCCGTGTTCCAGGAGTCCAGCCGCGAAGCGGTGCTGGACAGCTCCTGGGCGGGCTGCGGCTCCAGTCAGGGCCGAGCCCCGCTCCCCTTAAGTCGGCTGCGGCAGACTCCCCCAGGTTTCCGCGATAAGGAGCACGAAAGCACAGGTCGATTGAGAGAGGTGAGGAATGGCAAGACACTTTCACATATATCCCTCGCTTCAGAATAAGAGTACCGTATTCAGTTGGGGGCGGGCGGGATTGCTGGAGTCTTTCTGGCTTTCCTGTGGGGTAAGATCGCCCTGGCAGGAATTCACTTGTTAGATGGGACGAAGCTTTGCCTGAAGTGTCACCCACAGAAGCAGGGGGGAGACATACCCCAAACACACACCCCCTCACGCCTCGCCCAGTCCTTTCCCATTGAAGCATCTGAAGACATCCAAGGCCAGCTTTGCTGCCTAGGAGACACTTCGCCGTGGGAATGAACGCGGGACTTGGGCCAGCGGCTCCGGAGCAAGAAGCCCGCGCGAGGCCAAGCAGAAGCTGGCCACCAGATTGGGAAGGGAAGCTTGGTCGGGACGCGCCTGAAAAAGAAGCTGCAACAGGCAAAGGTCGCGGGTGGGTGGGCGTGTTGTGAGAGGCCAGGTTGTGGGATGGGGGTGGGGGGGCGCCTGAAATGTGCGCCAAGCGCCAACCAGGACCTATGAGTGGCGGCGACAGCGGGAGGGAAACGTAACCGAAGCTGAGGTAATCAGGTGTTTTTTGGACCCCCCACGAAAAGCTCTGTCCGCCTCCCCCAACTCGGCTTCTCCCGCCTTTTCCAGCCCCCTCTCCCCCCCCCTCCCTTGACATTCGCTTCCGCAACTCCTCATTGGCAGCTCGGGGCCGAAGGCAGGATGACGCGCGGACTCGCCAGAGGTTTCGGAGGTATAAACGCCCGTCGGGCACGCGGAGCCGCCGGTGCCAGGGAAGCGCTGTAGCCTGGTGTCTCTGGAAGATGCCGCGGGGGTTCCTAGTGAAGCGGAGCAGGAGACCGGGGAGCTGCTACCGGGTGCGCCCCGCGGGCGGGCTCCCGGCACCCCGCCTCGAGGAGGCGCCTCACGCTCCAGCAGCGCCTTTGCCGGCGATGGCCGGGCCGCCGCCTCCGCAAGAGGAGGAGGAGGAACAGGAGCAGGAGCAGGAGCAGCAGCTGCCCCAGCCGGAGTCTCCGCTGGCCGCCGTCTGGAGCGCGGGAACCGCAGACGGCGCCGCCTCCGCGGAAAGAGAGTCCAAGCGCTGCATCCGCTCTCCCGCGTCGGCCGAGTCCTTCCCGCTGGGGCCTGCCTTGGCGGTGGCGGAAAACCTGCCCCTGCTCCCGCGCACGCCCCTGCCCTTGCCCGTGTCCGTGCCGCTCCCCCTGCCTGCGGCGCCGCTTTGCCCCGCCGCCGCGCTCAAGCGGCCACCCCGACCCAAAGCTCCGCCGGCGAAGAAACCCAAGGCCGTGCGCAAGCTGAGCTTCGCCGACGAGGTGACCACGTCGCCGGTGCTGGGCCTGCGGATCAAGGCGGCGGCCGAAGGGGGCTCCGAGGGGCCACGCGGCTCCCGCCCGACCTTGCTAGGCGAGTTCGTCTGCCAGCTGTGCAAGGAGCCCTACGCCGACCCGCTGGCCCTCGCCCAGCACCGTTGCTCCCGGATCGTGCGCGTCGAGTACCGCTGCCCGGAGTGCCACAAGAT